ATAATTTGAAAAAAATCTAAATTGAATTGAAAATTTTTAGATTAATTTTTATGCAATCTAAAACTAATTTAAACTAATTTAAATTAAAAAATTTTTAGATTAATTTGAATTATTTATATTATTAAATTAATTTACTATCATAAATTTAAAATAAAATTTATAACTAAGATTGCTTTTATAAACTAATTTAGATTTGATAAAAATTTTAAACTTTTAAATTTTCTTAAAATTTTAATATAGTTTTATTATTTTTATAAATTTTGATATATTTTTACCTTTTTTTGAGTTTTGCAGATTTTTTAATAAGATTTTAATATAATTTTGCTAAATTTTAAATTTTATTATTTAGATAACTTATAAAACTTTTAATTTAGTTTAATAATTTTATTCATAATACTATATTTTATTTAAGATTTGTATTTAAATTATATAATATTTTAATTATTATAATTATCAAATTAAAAAATTAAAAAATATTAAAAAAATAATTTTTATTACTATTATATTAAAAAAAAAAGATCAAAAAAATTTTTAATAATAAATAAATAAAAATTATATTTATGTTTATTTTTTTTATTTTTTTTAAAATTTTTTATTAGAATAATTTAATATTAAAAATTATAATTATAAATATATTTAACAAATTATTTACTAATTTTTTTGGCTTTAAAAATTATAATTTGTTTATAAAATATGAAAAAAAAAAATTAAATCCATTTAAATTATAAAATTTTTTTTAAATTATTGGTAATTAAAAATAATTTTTAAAAGAAATTCTTATAAATAATTTTTAATAAAAGTAAATTAAAATGATACACTTATTATATTGTTAACTTATTATTACAAATCAAATATTTTTTATGACCTAAATGTTATATACAAATTATATTATATAATTCATGATATAAGCTTTAGAACCATATCTACTTTTATTTTGAATTGTATTATCTCAACCACGTTGATCATTTCAAAATCTTTTAAAGGTTATATATAGGATTAATATAAATACTTTAGTTCAAAAGTTTGATATTCCATTTTCTTAGCTTACAACCCATATTTGTTTAAATAAAATAAATTCTATTTATAATAATTTAGTTGATGTTTTCATACTATTATATTATTCGAATGGTTATTTTTTTAGTAAAGTAATATATCATCGTGGTGGCGGTTGTGGTGGTCTTTGATATCCACGTGATGTAGGTGAAAATGATATAGGCATTCCTTTGTTCCATACTTTGGGAACAGGAGATGCAGGTTGTGAAATATCTGAATAATCGAGATTTCTCATTGATCCCGAAAGTAGACTAAATAAAATAAATAGAATAAAAGTATAAGAATGCGTTTGATTTGATTATAGTAATAAAAATTAAAATAATATATTAATATGAACTTTGAAAAACGTTCAGCTTCTTTTCTTCGTTGAGTGGCAAAAGCTTGACAATTTTGCTTTAGTTCATCTGCATTCGCTTGCGAACGGGCATAAAACTAAATATATAAGGTAATACAGTAAATAAACATATGTTTGCGTGTATATATATAATTTTTTTTAAAAAAACAAAGATTCATTACCGCCATTCCTTCCTGTAATCGTTGAAGTATATTAATGAAACATTTATATCCATTCCCAAGTGTTTGTATAAACTGAGTTCTTCTCGGATTGGTCGACGCCACTCTTCGTCTTTTATTATACTCTTCGAATTTCTCCTACATAATGAATGTTATAGTAGTATTAGTAGGCAATAATAAGCCAAAATATTTCACATGAGATGAAAGGGAATTTATATATACAGATATAGAAGCGAGCAAGTTGTCTTGAATATCTGATAATTTGTTACATGTCAATAAGAATTTATCATATTTTTTCATTTGTTCATTAAACAAATCTTCAAAATGCGCAGGTTCGAGTTTTATGGATGTGTTACTAGCTGCAGTTAATTTTGCAGCTTCTTTAAGCAATATAGGAGCTAAAATAAATAAATAAATAAATTCAGAATTATTTAATATTATGAATATTTTATGAATAAAGATATTATAGAAGAATGTTCAATATATAAATAAACACGCACCAATATCATCTAAATCTGCAGCCTTTTTCACTTCTTGAATTTTAGTTTCACATTCTTTCATGATTTGGAAGGATTGATTTATTAAAGCTCGTAAATCATCTTTGATTTTTTGAACTCCATCTACATCAACATCAGATTCAGATTGAATTTCTGGAGGGATACGTTCTTCCAATATCTCCTAAAAAAAATTTGATGTTTAATTATACTTCTATCTATAAGAATCTAAGTAATTGATAACTTACTCGATCAGAGCTCAATATATCTAAAGCTTCGGATTGTTGTTCCAATCCATTTTGAAGAATTTTATTACTTCTATAAGCCTGATCATAAACCTTTCGATAGCTATCCGCCTTTTCAGTCAATTCTCTATTTACTGACAATGAGAGAGGCCGAGTCCATTTTTCACCAAATTTATTTCTAAATTCCTCGTCGTCAGTGCATTCTTGATCCAAAAAAGCAAGAGCCTGTTATAAGAAAATAAATAATGAATATTTAAGAAAAATTCCCAGCCGGATTGTTGGAGTCAAATAAATTTTATAAAATTACCTCATCCAAAGTTTGATAGACAATTCTAGATTTATCTTGTAAAGTATCAAACATGGCATTCAGCCTCGCCAAACCTCCTTCATTACGAACCTCTTGAGACATGGATAAAATTGATGGTGGTATTTTTGAATGCTGATCAACTTCATTAAGTGCTGCGGGCAAATTCAAAGACCGTAATGTACTAAATATAGGTGAAAAAAACATATATATATTTCATATATATATATATTTTCCAATAAAAAGCATTTATAATAAATTTGTTACCTATTGCAAATGTTTATCAACTCGTGAAGTTTAGATAAAATCTCATCCCTCACCAACTTTTCCTTACGATCAGAATATACACTATGAGCTTGATGTACCGCATAAGGGACGAGTTTTACGAACAAGGGTACACCCAAAATAGATCTTTCATTCATCAAAGAAATAGGGTCTTGGACTTCTGGTGGAATATTAGGATTAGCCATATTAGCTTTACCAATAGAAGTTAATGACGAGGCGGATGGAACCATTTGAAGATAAATAATATCGTTATCCTTTTGAGCTCGTTTAAGATTTGATTGTACGGCCGTCTGTACGGACTATAAAAGAAACAAAACAAAACAAATATTTATTTATGTATTGTAATTAAATGGTTCTAAAATAATTCACATCTGAGTAAATACCTCTAAATCTTTGATAACTGCTTCACGCAAATGCCTACATTGATCTAAACCTTTTTTAATATAATCTTGAGAAACTTGCAACCTAGAAATTTCTTCACCATATTTATTCTGACTAATGCATTCAGAAGATTTTCTAAATTCTGCAGCAGCATGAAAATGCCAGGACTTTACTTGTAGATGTGTTAGCCATCCCTGAGCGCAATTCATGATGTTAGTAATTAAAATAAAAAGTGAGTGCTCGAATAACTCCTTTAAAAGGTAGGATATGAATTAATAACCTACTTGCCCCAATATATTAGCAATTTCTGAATTATTTGAAGCAATCTCATGTGCATGATCATAATATATGGATACTTGATTAGCTAACTTTGCAACCGTCCCGTCCTTGTATTTGTCTTGACCCAATGCAAAACGGGTTGAATCAAAATGAATTATAAAAATATGACAATAAAAATTAAGTTTAATTAAGTTTACCATGAACAGCCTTTTGCCAAAAGCATTCTTGAGCTTGAGCAAGCATCGTGTTAGTCAATACCTTTAGCATATCAGATGATAGATCTAAAGGTGGTGCGATACGCATTTCTGCTACTATGACCTCATTTAAATGTTTGAAGCACCCAGCAGCATACTGAATTTTGGTTTTGAAAAGTTAATTTATCAAGAATTATAATATTGTACGATAAAAGCGACATAGATAAGTTCAATTAAAATTACTTGAAAATGCTGGCACGCTCTTTTAACTCCCTCAGGGGTTGTTCTATTCTCCGAAACGCCAAGTTGACTATACATAGCGCCAATATTAAATAACACACACGCTTTCTCATAATAAAAATTCCGATGTGAAACTATATAAGAGTCATATTATTGCAATAATAATATTATTAACTCGTTAACTTTTGTTTAATTTTTATTAAATTACGTTCTTAATAACGATAAATAAACAGATGAACATACTCGGCCTTTTTTCATCGGAAAAAGCTGAATACCAAGGAAACTCTATGCCAAACTATTGGCAAGGAAAATAAATTAAGTTTAAGAAATTAACAAAAACAACAACAATAATAATAATCCACCAAAACCTACATCAATAGGAAACTTTGATCCAATAAAAACCAATTGTCCGTAATATCTAAATTTTGAAAGAAACCAAATCAATTTGTATTTGAGACATCTTTTTCCAAAAAAGAGGATTTTATATCGATCGTTTTGAAAAAGAGGAATGTACTAAATTAATCAAAACAACAACTCACTTTAACAGCCGATGGAGGGCATTCTGATGCACCTCCAAATTCAAACAATCGGTTCTTAACTCGTCGAGAACGCGAAAATCATCCGTAAAGTTATCTGGGTGATCATTGTAATTGTAAGAGATATACTCTCGAAGAGCTGTTGTTAACCCAATACGTTCGGTGCGTTTGAAATCAATAGTAAGAATATTTATTGATCCAGACATTGTAATAACTTTTGCATGAAATAACAATAATGATAATCAACAAATATCTATTTCGGTAATTTATAATTAGCCAATCAAAATTTATGCAAATGATCGGCGTCAATTTTTAATTTCTTATATTTATAATCATCAATAAAATTGATTTTTTATTATTGCATTTTTTGATAATTTTAAATGCGTATTTTTTTGTGAATCTTTAATTTAAAAAATTTATTTTAAATTCCTGGCAGAATCAAATAAATAATAATCGCTACTTTATTCTTAATCTCATCAATTTAGTTCAGTATCTAATTCATTTTCAATCACCTTTTTAACCAAAGAAGGATCAGCTTTTTCAACAAATACAACCTTCTTTTCTTTTTCCAATAAACCGATAAATTCTTTTGGTAAAATACTTTCAAATTTAAATGCTTTGAAATTTTCTAATGCTTTTTCTACCGCTTGAGAAAATTTTGCTGGATGTGCAGTCGCAAGACATATTTGAATTGTATTACTAATTGAAAAAAATGTATATATTTAGAATGGAATATTAGAATATAAAGTAGATGTTGAAGATATTTGAATATACTCACGGTGAGATAATCTGTCTGTCTGCGGCTGCAACGCCAACCGCTGTATGTGGATCAAGAATGTAAGAAATTTGATCTCTGTTTTCTGGTGCGTAATATTTCTGAATAGTATTCAACGTCTAAAATCATCAAATCATATTTTTTTAAGAATAATTTCATGTTAATGTAATTTCAATTCCTTTTTTTTTTAAAAAAATAAAAATAAAATAAAATATAAGAAAAAAAGAAAGGTACCTCTTGATCTGAAACCATTTCACTCTTAAAATCACAAAGTGCAATATCTAACATAGATTTTTCAACTATTAAACTTTGATTAGTCTTAACATCTTCCATCCACCCTCTAACAATTTTACTGACTTCTTTAATTTTATCTTCTTCTTGAACCTTACTATCATTATAAGCCAAGTACCATAATAACCTTTCAAAATTACTTGAGATAGCAATATCCATAGCAGGACTTAAAGTTTCTTTAACAAATTTTCCATTCTCACTTTTTAATTTTTCATATCTGCCATTCTTAAAAAATCTATCTAATATATCATTAGAATTAGTTGATGTTAATAAATTATTTATCGGCAAACCCATTTGTTTCGCGAAATAACCTGCCAATATATCTCCAAAATTTCCTGTTGGTACACAAAATTGAAGTTGAATTTCTTTTGCTGCATTTGATTCCATCGTAATATTTAATGATTTAATTAATTGAAAATATGAATGGTAATAATATACTATTTGTGCTAATATTCTTGCCCAATTTATTGAATTAACTGCGCCTAAATGATGTTTTTCATTGAATGGGTTGTCCGCAAATAAGTTCTTTACGATATCCTATAAAAAAAAAAAAAAAAATTTAGAACTTTTAACCGTCAATTTATTATTAATTAATAAGTCAGTTTTACAAACATACCTGACAATCATCAAATGTACCCTCAACCGATAAATTATGAACATTTTTATCCAATACTGTTGTCATCTGAGCTTCTTGAACCGGTGATATTTTACCATGTGGATGAAGGATGAATACCGAAATATTTTTTTTCCCTCTCAAGCCGTAAATAGCCGCGCTACCAGTATCTCCACTAGTAGCTCCTAATACTGTTATTCTATCTTTTTCTTTCTTTTCTTCATTCTTTTTTTCTAATAAATATTCAAATAAATTACCAAGAAATTGTAATGCAACATCTTTAAAAGCAAATGTTGGTCCATGAAATAATTCTAATATATAAAATTTTTCTCGAATTTTTTTTAATGGTGTGATTTCATTAGATCTAAATGTTGAATATGATTTATTAATCAGCTGTTCCAAGTCTTTACGTGGAATCTCTTCCGATGGAATATATAATGAAAATATCTCGAGTGCTAATGAATTAAATGTTAGATTTGACCAATCTTTACGCCAATTCTCTGGTAAGACTGGTATATTTGTAGGAATAAATAATCCCCCATCTTCTGCTAATCCTACTAAAACAGCTTCCGAAAACGTAAGAAGCTTGGGTGATCCTCTAGTTGAACGATATTTCATTTTCACTTTTTTTTTTTTTATTTTTTCCTTTTTATATATCTGATTTTTTTTCAAAATGGTTGATGCAAATTTTGATGCAAATTTCAAGAAATATGATTGGCTGAAATTTATATCGGATTTTGCATCAAATGTATCAGCAAAATAACAGGTGTAGTTGATGCAAAATTTTTAACGGCCCAAGTAGCCAATCACAAAATGTTTACTTAACCAAATTTGTAAAATCCTTATTTTTAAAAATACGATTTCATAAAAATACATCGAAATATACATCGATTTTATTCAATTTCGCGTACTAAAAAAATAATAATTGATTTAATTGATTGGTTAATCACAAGTGCATCAAATTTTGCATCAACCAATTTTGAATACCCCTAATATTAACATGGCACGTGATTAGTCCCGCTCAAATAATTGAGTCGATGCTGATTGGCGTTTAAAAGTCTAGATAAAGCAAAGTCCCGCCGCTCGAAATTTGAGTCGTTTCGTCCCTAGCCGGAACGGAGTGAAAGACTATTGAGCTAGATTGCACAAAAATCTCGATAAAGCTATAGTAATTGAATTCGTCATAGGGTTAGTCCGAATCTTTAAAGATTTTTATGATTAAAAAAATTTATAGTGCGTTGAATTTTGATCGACATGAATTTGATATTAACTTTATTGTATATAAAGACTATTTATTTTATATTTATTATTCGTTTTAGGACAAGCCTTAGAATTCCAAAATACTTTATTCCATTAAATTATTAGAAGGTTGTAATTATTGTTTCGATTCCGAATTAAATAAAATCAAATTTTTTTTTTTAATTTGAAAATTTGAAAATTTTGATTGGTCACCAAAAAGATTTAACAATTCAATTCATTAAAACAAATCAATATTATGGGCCTGAATCTCGTTTACCACGATTACCGGCTTTAAGCCCTTTTCGCTCTTCTGGTGTGCCATCTTTATTAATATAAACACATTGTCCATTACAATTATATTTCCGATAATTTGTGTTGCTTTTTACCTTCTCCTACGGTTAAATATGACTGACTGTGTATCGGAGACTCGGAATTAGATAAATTGAATGTTTCAATTAAATCCTCGCATATCTCCGGAGTTGTTTTATCGTTATCTGATCCGGTTATGTCATCATCAGCGATTACCATTAATAATTGTGAACTTGTCAGAAAAATCCGTACTGGCCAATGAATTTCACCTTCTGAATAACACGTGACTAATAATAAAATGTGTGATGTCATATCATCAGTTTTTGGTTTCTTCGATATTTTACAAGCTGCCATGGTAGAAACCAATCAAATGCTAAAGTGAAAATGAACTTGATTAAGAATTCCTGTGAATACGACTGTCATTATACTATTCGATGGTTGTTCCTTCAACGTCTCTTGCTTTAAAATTAGGTAACCATTTTGTGTCTCCTTGTATGAAGAATATCTCTTGTTTCATCTTTACCGAGGAGAACCTCGAAGCCATTCTGTAACGCTATCTTCTCCAAGCAACTTATCCTCATTTGAAAGGATCAAGATAGTTTCCTAAATCATATACCTTATTACTATAAACAAATAAGGTGGTGTTAGGTTTGGTTATATTTTGCCATGAATAAGAAACGCTTTTTTCATATCGAGTTCTTTTAATCTGTGAAGTATGATAATATAATAATGGATTTTTCGTTTCAATCGCCCTATCGCAAATGGTCCATCATTTAGGGGCAAAAGGACATTGGTCTAGAGGAAAATAATCCGCGATATCTTGTCCAAACGTTGGAAATATTATTGGTTCTAATTTTTATCTTCGATAGGAGGCGTTAACGGACGACGATTACCAAAAATAATATGTTGTCCAGTTTTATAGAGTATGCCATGAATAATATGAACTTATGACCCGATTCCAAATTTTCAAATACATCTTCCTTAAAAAATGTTTGTTTCCTTATTCCACAAGCGATGGTTGCCAACCCGAATGCCAAAAATCCCATGAATGATGAAATTAATAATATAATATCTACCAAAGCCACTTTTTCACGCCAAGCTTGACGACATTGGGATCTTTCATCTTACCAATGATGAAAATGCAAGGATTACAAAAACATGCCCTGACTATTTAATGGCATCAAATATCCTTTTGTATTATTGATTAGAATCTCTGGATAAATGTTTTGAATCAAAATATTCGGTTCAATTGGGTGTTGTATCATTGTAAGAAACCTCCCTGGTATTCCTTGAAAGGATATTCCACTCGAACGATGAGGTATGGATGTGGGAAGGCAGAATTAGTTTATTATTATAATTAAGAATATAATTATGATTATAATAATTGTTATTTTTTTTCCCGCTCGGAACGTTATTCTCGATTATTTTTGCCAAGTCAAAATGTCCAACGTCGTAAAGATCTGTCTGCATCATGCACCAACAACAACTGACACATTTCTACACAGTTAGAAAAAGCAGCGAGCATTAACGCGGTCCGTCAATACATTTAATTTTTTTTATTTTAAAGAATAAGAGAAATTAATAAAGATCACAAATAAAGACAAAGAAATTGAGATCGCACCTTGTTTGAATGTACACACTTGCACTTCGAGCTAGTAACACTTTAGCGGTTCAACGTAGCCTTCATAAGAAGCCTATAATAAAGCGGTTTTATAAGAACTATCTTGAAAATTCACATTGGCTTAACCGTGATCGGTAAGTTCACAACAAACATCAGCATGACCATTATAAGCCGCAATGATAAGAGAGGTTACGTTTTCCCTATTACAACTTTCAACGTTAGCATTAGCATTCATCAAGATTTTAACAACTTCAATATTTCCCAACGAAGCAGCTTAATACCGATTCACCGTAGGCCAATGTTAACATTTGGCAATCCAACCGAGTAATTTATAACGTCAGGGCAGTTTCACATGGGTCTTCACCTTAGGTTATTTGGGTTAAACTGCGTTTGATTTAATATGGATATAAATTGTTTGTAATATTGCGTTAAATTTTGGCGGTAATTGATTTAATGGTGCATTTGACGGTGAGGTGGTACTGGTGGTATCGTTGAAGCTGCTGATGAATATAGAGGTTTATAAAAATCATCCATGTTTTCCTAATTAAATGCCACAAAGTCCTTTTTTTTAAAAAAAAAAAAAAATTTTCAAGCAGGTTGAAGTTTAATTCCTGTTGAAAGTTCTCGGTTCAAAGATGGATACTCTATATTAAGAAATATGTAAAAATCACAAGTTCATTATATAAATTCGTTAATTTTCGTAATCCTGGTTGACAAAAAAAGATAAAGATAAAAAATAAAGGAGAAAAGAGAACGGGGCTAGCAACTTTTAAAAAAATCCATAAATTTCCTGATAAAGATTTATGCGTATCTTACCAAAGTTTTTCAAACGGAATAAGATTTCGATATATCAGCATATTTCTATTTTATGCAATAAATTTAATAAATACTCTCATTTTTAACTTTACCTTTCTTATAAAATAAAAAATTAATAGAGTTTTCCTTAAAACTTTTTCATTTACGTGTCAATAATTTTTAAAAATCAGAGTTTGTAGCAGTAAATAATAACGCGTCAGTCAATGATTTATTTTTAGAAATAATAACGCGTCTCTCAATAGTTTATTTAAGAAATCAGTAATTATGATTTATTTTTAGATATAATAACGCGTCTCTCAATAGTTTATTTAAGAAATCAGTAATTATGATTTATTTTTAGATATAATAACGCGTCTCTCAATAGTTTATTTAAGAAATCATTAATCATGATGAGTTAAATAATAACGCGTCTCAATAATTTATTTTTAGAAATTCAGTTGTAACAATAAAGAATAACGCGTCTCTAGAATCAGTAACTGATGTAAACAAATACATTCCACATTACGCGTCTTTGATTTTATTATAAATACTCTCCATCTTACCTCACAAAAAATTTCAACTTTTTTTCCTTTACCCTTCTTGATTTATAAATACTCTCCAACTCACCTCACAAAAATTTGTACTTTTTCCTTTACCCTTCCCTCATATATTTTATTATTTCCGAGCATATTTTTTTCTTGATTATTTTTTTATCTTTAGTTTTACGACCCATTATTTTTTTTACGAAAAATCGAAAGAAATTTTTACAAAAAAAACCAAAAGAAAAACCAATGAAAAGTAAGTACTTTTGTATCTTACTTAGTAACATTTTTTTTTTAATTTCGACGAAGCGAGTTTTTGTGTATATGTACAGAACGCTATGTATTGTTTTCTTCTCTTAAAGAGATAAAAACTTTCTTCTCTTCGAGAGATAAAAATATTTTTCTTTCCTTGCGAGAGAAAAACCTGCGTTTAACCGTTTCTGGTCCCAGTTCAGTCATCATGCGTCGACTCCTAACAGTGTTGATCTTTTGGCGTTTATCTAGGGAAACCATGTTTTTTTTTTTTTTTTTTTTTTAAACAGGAACATTTAAAAATGTATAAATTTTATCTCGTAAATCTAACTTGATTATTTTTTTTTTTTTTTTTATCTTTAGTTTATTAGGAACGAGATCAAAATCGATAAAAACCATTATTTATTATTTTTAGTTTATTTCATTTGTTAATGCAAAAGAAATTTTCTTTTAAAATTCGTAATAAAAATGAATCAAACACATATATCAATAAAATGTAATTTATATATCTATTAAAGAGAGAAATTTCAATAATAATAAAAATTTTAATAAAATGTTTATAATTTTTGAATTTTTAAAAGTCGGTTCCAATTAATGCAAAAAAAAAAAAAAAAAAAAAAATCTAGTCGATTGATTAATCATTAAAAAAAAAAAAATGAAAATTAAGATTTCTCGCTCGAAAAGAAAGCATTTAAAAGGAGAATTCTTCATTTGCGAATAAACTTAGTTTTTCATAAACAAAATAAATTGTTATAAAAAGATTATGCTGCGTAACTTGACAAATCTTGTTTTAGGAGTTGCCGTTGCATCGAATTCAAAAATACTTCGAATTGTTTATATGCTTTGAACTTTGGTTTATGATATAATAACTATCAAACCAATTTTTCCTTGCTCCTTTTTTACCACCAAAACTTAAAAATAACATGACAATCTTTTTCCGTCTTGAATTATTGATCAAAAACTTTTCTAATCTTTCTCAACTAGGATGTTCACTTCACACGCCATAAACATCGGAAACATCATTGCCAATTTAGTTTTGTCAACGATTCTCTACTATTTTCGTAGGGTATTAGTTTCATCACGGCACAATTATTTCGAAACGTGATTGTACCAAAAATTAGGTTTAATAATTAATCTTCAAGATCACATTGGCAATTTTACGCTGAAACGAGTTAAAATATCAGTTCGATCGTATGTTTTATTGTTGTGTTCACTTTCAACGATAAATCGAATTCTTCCGCAGATATCAATTTTTTTGCAAAAGGCAGTAAGATCGCTTCGGACTTAACAACGGTCCCCGTTTTCTAGTATTACCAAACTATTACCTAATTCGCCATTTGACATGTCGATATATTATTAAACTAACCGATTCGTCTCATCATTGACGAATCTTAAGAACTATAAATAATTTTCTATGGATAATGAATCGTTTTGTGATTTATAATGGTTTAACATCTTTTTTCCGAAAGCGCATTATTTGACGATAAATGATTGTATATTTCAAAATGTTACTAAAAAACGAAGACGAGGGAGGTAATAATGGAATTTTTTTATAATTTTTTAATTGCAAATAAATCAAACAATAATTATATCAACAAAGTTAAAGTTATATAAATAGCAAGACTTTTTATTTAATTTGATAATTTTATTTGCGCACATTCAGTATTAATTATTCATGTGCACATATTATAATTATTTCCGCAGTCACATATTAATCTGAAATTTTTATTCGAAGCAATTAGCATATCTATAAAATCTCGAGTTTTTTTTTAAAAAAAAAATATATATAGATTACAATAATTTATGATGATTTTCCCAATACCTAATTAATTCGATAATCAAAAATTAATAAAAAAAAAAATAATTATATATTATATGTACATATGAAAATGACTTACCAAAGCCAATAAAGCCATTCTTACAAACATTCCATATTTCATCTGCCTAAAGTAAGCAGCTCTATCATCAAAATCCACTTCAGGATCAATTTCATTCATTCTAGGTAAAGGATGCATGACAATCACATTTGACTTGGCATTACTTAAAGTAGCATTATTAATTATATAATAATCTTTAACCATCTCGTATTCGGATAAGTCCGAGAAACGTTCACGTTGCATTCTAGTTACGTATAATACATCCGTACTAGATATAACTTCATGTAAATCAGTATATTCTCTTTGATCTATACCAATTTTACGAATTTCATTTTTAATTTCATCCGGCATACGTAATGAGTTTGGACTAACGTAGTTTAATTTTACGTGATAATGTGATAATACCCTAACTAAACTATGAACCGTTCTTCCATTCTTTAAATCCCCTACTAAAGTCACTGTTAATCCATTAACGGTACCCAATTCTTCTCGAATTGTATATACATCAAGGAATGCCTGTAAAGATATTTTAAAATTTTAATAATGAATTTTGAAAGCATGTTATTTCACAAATACCATTTTCACATCACATACCTGAGTAGGGTGTTCTCCAATACCATCACCGGCATTTATAATTGGAACAGGGGAATATTTTGCTGCGATCTTTGAACTACCCGGTTCTGGATGCCTTAACACTATAATATCACCATAAGCACCTACGGTTCTTACGGTATCACCCAATGTTTCTCCTTTCGTTACTGAAGATACATCCGTTTTAACTGAAACCACGCGTCCTCCCAATCTATTTATAGCAGCTTCAAAAGAAGCGGAAGTCCTTGTTGATGGTTCGTAAAACAAGGTAAACATTACACGTCCTTGTAATAGATTAATTGAACCATAACGTTCTACCAACGTACGCATTTCATATGCAACAGCAAACAATAAATGAAGATCATTTC